TGATTTGCTCAGGAGGCTCAGGACAGGGCCGGCCCTGAGAATTTAGGGGCCCTAGGCGATCATTTGAAGTGGGCCCCTAAAATTCTCTTATCTCTAATTCTTTGTATATTGATTTGTATAAAAAAGAATTCGCTAAATATATAAAAAGTTCTATTTTCACATCAAATATCATTAATAATTAATATCAAAAGAAGATAAATATACAAACATTATTTAAACATTACACGATTCACGTTTTTAGACACAAATGTACTAAATATTGGCAGTCAAAAGTTTAAGATTGAGAGTGAAGAACAATAAAATTTGATGATCAAGAGAGTAAATAACAATAAAACTTGATTGATGAGTATAATAAATTCAACGCCAATTGTTTATCTTGTGTTTTTTGTTTCTTCTAAAATCAACATCACACTAACGAATTGAATATTAAAATAATTCATTGAATAAAAAGTTATTGAAAAGAAAAATATAAAATTCAAAGTTTTGATTACCTTAAAGTACAATCTTTAAGATTATATGATAGTTGGTTTAAACATTCAATAGAAATGGAGAGAATGAGAAGTTCGTTTAAACATTCGATAAAAATAGAGAGAATAAGAAGTTGAAAGAAAAAAGATTGCAAAGAGACTTGAGTTTTATAACTTTATATGCATTTGGACAGATAAATGACAGTAAATTTGAAAAACAAGAAAAATTAAGAAAAATCTAGTGACGGAAAGGCAGCTTCGTGTTTCGAACTCAACACCCCAACAAAAAATAAATGCAACATTTCTTCTGCACTAACAAATGAATTATGATATTTCTAACTTTTTTTATATTTATATGTTAATTACAGGATATAAAATTTTTTTGGGGACCCTTCCGAAGTGGGGGCTTTAGGCAGGCGCCTACTTGGGCTACTCTCAGGGCCGGCCCTGGCTCAGGAGATGATCCAAATCCGTTTGGATGTTTATATCTAATTCTCTATTAGTTGACTTTTACACCATAAAAATATAGAAATCTATGTTTAGTCTTAACCACTGGAACCCTAATTTACCAATGAAAATTTAGGATATATGCCCCCTTAACTACTGTTAAAGCGTATTATTTTCGGATATAATAGACAATTAATAGTCTTGAAACAATATATAATCTCAAATCAAATCTCTTTGTTTTTATTTGCAATTTCTTGTAAATTTTCTCTAATATTTTAATAAACTTAATCACGATTCTGATAATCTTTTTAGGTATTTGAAACGAACATGCATGCATGCAGGTTTATGAAGGTCAGACAGGGATGAGTCGGATGACCCTCCAATAGAAGGAAGAGTCGATGAGAGGTCCCTTTCGAAGAGGCTGTAAGCAACGAGCAGACAAGCTATTGGTGGACCCCACCCCCTGTCTAATTGGCCCAACCAGGGTCCAACATTTGTCAACCACCACCACATATTTTTGTTCATATTTTTGTTCCCTCTCTCTCATATATTCTTCTTCCTCCTTCCTCCTTCCTCCTCTACATTTTCTCTATTTAAACACCCTTTGTCCCTAATCATCCACCCACCCCCATCAAATTCAGACCCACCACCACAAGGCTTCCAAACTTCTTCCAAGTCTCTTCAAATTTCAATCACTCCCACTCTCTCAGTCTCGACCGCTTTAAGAGTCTGATTGATAACCATCTCGTTTTTATTTTTCAATATTATTCTTCGTTTTCTGTATGGAAATGGAAGCCAAAGCGATCCCAACGAGGACGACGAGGAGTACTAGTTTGAAGTTTCGGTCATGGGGACGGTGTTCGAAACACATACGAGAGCAGCGGGCGCGGCTTTACATCATCTGGAGATGTAGCGTGATGCTCTTATGCTGGCATGAGTGATTAAGAGGTTAAATATCATCCTAATTAGCACTGGTTGATCAAGTTTGAGACTGATCAGTATTAGCTAGGGTGACTAATTAACCATACGGGTACTGTGGTTTTCTCTGTATGGTAATTAATTAGGCAAAGGTGACAGCTCCAACTGTCTGTTTGACGTTGTAAATATCTGATAATTTAATGTAACTCTTGTTTTCTTAGTTTGCTTATAGTAGTGAAATAAATTCTATACATTTGCGTGAAAAATATACTTGGTTTATTGTTTTTGATACAAAGATATATTTGCACTAAAAGGCTAAAAGGTTGAGGGAATAAAATGTGTTACAAACTCTTCATTCATGAAATTTGAATATAAAACTAAGACATTTCACTTATAATTTACAAGTGAAACAAAATACTATTAAAATGTAATACTAAGTGGCACTTGTATCCTTAATGAAAGTTTGAGCATGTGCGAATTATATGTAAGGACTAATAAGGGTAAGGGACAAACAATGTTCTACTTAAATTTCCACTACTAGCACAAATAATTGAGTCCAAATTCAAGAGTTTTACAAAAACAAAATGTTAGCGAGACTGTTTATAGACCATAATCAATAGACCACATGATGTACGGATTGATGGTTGAATTCTTTCTTTAATGATTTAAAAGAGTCCATCGTCAATCGCCATATAATGTGATTCACAAAATATAGTTCAAGTAGATTGTCTCTCTAACATTACCCTTCACAAAAAACACAAGCCATTGTGCTTGAATTTTTCCTTCAGAAAATATGCTCGGTATTGAACTGGTCATCCATGTCAGCCGAACTTGAAACTTACAAATAGATGATACAACCATATTACTTACGTGTGCCCAAATTGAAATGTTAAACTTGCTGCCATTACCTTGGGTCAAAACTGACCAGTCTGGCAAATGTTTCTGCTTGCTCAACGTGTAAGAAACTTACTGATTGGCTTATCCGAAAAAGCCATTTGACTTCGACAATTTTTTAAGGTTAAGTGGATGCATGTATATTCATTAGTCAATAACCAAACCATCAGGACATTTTAATTTCCAGCTCTCGTGTTTTTGAACAACTAGCTCACCATCATCATCATCCACCATTTGGCTGAATCGAGTTCGCCAGATGACAGAAATAGTCAAGGGAACTAGGACACAGATTTTTCGTGTCATTTTCGCGTTGCGCTTCTTAAAATTCATGTAGGATATTTTGGATATAAACGCATTGACAATAGTCCAGTTTTTCTATGTTCTCGTGTATGACTCAACTGCTAGTAAGACCATTTTCAAATGGGGGCCTGTAACATTTTACCTGTTGCGGACGTAAAAGATTCTGCAAAAATTAAATAACCGCATTTTTCGTACAAATTGTGAGCTATTACACACGATTTTTAATATGTTTTAGAAGATTCTTTAACCCTATTTTATTGATTTTAAATTTTCTGAAAAATGGATAAAATTCTGTATCAGACTCAATAAGTGGTTGTACAACTCCAAATCGCTTATAACATTTCGAATATACATGACCAAAAAAATTATATACATAACAGGTTTGAATTCGTGGACATGTTTTTTATAGAGTTTTTAGAGCTCACTATGTAATATATTTTATCGATTCAAATTATTTATTTTTTATGTCTTCCCTCAAATATCAGCTGTACCAAAAATCACCCAACCACTAAGCTATATAACTGTTGGATTAAATTTAGTGTTTTTCATAGAACCGTGTTCTTATATTTTCTTCATTACAAATGAATACCATGATTTCAGAATTATCTATTTTTTTGCAAGAATAATCTAAAAAAAATTAATTAAAATATAGACAGTTCGAATCCTTGAAAAAAGTTATAGATGTGAGCCATAAAAACGTGTTAGATTGTGAATTTAGTGTTTCTTCGTAGAACAGTGTTCTTATATTTTCTTCACTACAAATGAATACCATGATTTCGAAGTCATCTAATTTTTTAGCAAGAATAATCTATATAAAAAAAATATAATTGAAATATAGACAGTTCGAATCCTTGAAAAAAGTTACAAATGTGAGCCATAAAAACGTGTTAGATTGTGAATTTAGTGATTATTCATAGAACCATGTTCTTATATTTTCTTCATTACAAATAAATATTATGATTTCGAAATTATCTAATTTTTTTGCAAGATTAATCTATAAAAAATTATTGAAATATACTGTTCAAATCCTTAAAAAAAAGTTACAGATGTGAGCCATAAAAACGTGTCAGATTGTGTCCTTGAATCCTAACTCATACACAATACACACCTATATATATCATTGGCTAGTAAGTTTTAAAACTGGGTGCTTTAGAAGCAAAATTCTCTCAATAGGATAAAGAACAGCCTAAAAACGAGACGCAACATGTACAGAAACATTTTTACTGTCACAGGATTATATAATATGACAGAACAAATATATACACACACACACACAAACACTGGCACATCCCAGTCTCAACTCCGCCGTAACACGATATTGTCCGCTTTGGACCCCGACCACACCCTCACGGTTTTGAAACTCACACGAGAACTTTCCAATGAATCACCCATCCTGGAATTGCTCTCGCGCGATCTTGCTTAATTTCGGAGTTCCGATAGAATCTGAAGTCAGTGAGTTCTCACAAGGTCTCGTGCTAAATTAGGTGGGCATGTACATATAAGGCACAAAGGATCCACTTCCCTGGATGATGTGAGATCTAACAATCCAACCCCCTTAGGGATCCGATGTCCTCTTCAGCACACTTCCGGCCAAATATTGGCTCTGATATCAAATTGTCACATCTCGAGCCTGGCTCGACTCCGCCATAGCATAATATTGTCCGCTTTGGGCCCCGACTACGCCCTCAAGGGTTTTGTTTCTAGGAGCTCACTCGAGCAGAACTTTCCAGTGGGTCATCCATCCTGGGAATGCTTTGGCCCCTTTCTCGCTTAACTTCGAAGTTCATACAGAACCCGAAGCCAGTGAGCTCCCAAAAGGCCTCGTGCTATATGGAGGTGGGCATATACATATAAGCCATAGAGGATTCACTCTCCTGAGCGATGTGAGATCTAACAATCCACCTCTCTTAGTGGCCCGACATCCTCGTCGGCACACTTCTGGCCAGGGATTGGCTCAGACACACACACACATAAATTCAAAATTCGGCAAGTCTAAATTATTATTGTTTTGAATCTCCACTGTACAAAATTCTGTATCAAAATATATAAATCCTACTTAATTTGAAACAAAAATTGCATCCGTCTTCGAAGTTGATACTGTTCATATTCACAGCTTATGAAATGTAGTACAAGGCTTAGACACCAAATTCTTTGTCGAAGACATCCCATCCGTCGTCCATAAGCTCCTTTCGATCGACCTTGCTTCTTTCCTGTTCGAGTATGCTTTTTGGTGATAGGCCGTCAACTGAAGAAGCGGGGCTTACCTTCTCCGGCGACTTCAGTAACTTGAGTCGTTCTGAAACTAAATCGAGTGCCATGCTTTTCATGGATGAGCCTGAAGAAGCTAGGATGCAGGTTGTCTGGCTCGAAGATACTGACTGGCTTAGTGGAACCCGCTCATCAAATTTCTCTTTCAGAAGCCTGACGTCCTGACAAATGACGGAAATTTCTCCTCTGCACATGTATGAAAATTACTGTATTATCATCTCCTCAAACTCATAAAAATTACGTACTGCAAATAAAAGCATTGAAAGGAAACAAAAGTTTGGAGGAAGAAATAAAATTGTAGTAAAACAAAAAAAGAATACCAGATAGCGAAGAATTTGAGGTTCGAACTAGAATGTGACGTAACAGACAACCAGCGGATGAGATTATATTGATAATGCTTGAAAAGGGACCTAATTGATTTTAGAAATAGATGATTTAAACTATTGCTGGAGGAGACAAATGACCTATGAAATAAATGTAAAAGACGAGATGAAATATAAACGGTAACTTTACTTTATCCAGGGTAAACTGCAAAACAATCTCAAAACATAACTGAAGTTCCTCAGACACAAATTCCAAGTCTAATATGCAAAACGAGGATCGAGAGGATGCACAATTGGTAATGAAGTTGCTTGGCATCAGCCACTTTACATAGGTAATAGAGACCTCGATGGTCTATAAACTGTAAACCAAACTGTAGAGCTTATATATTAAAACAAAGGAGACAAAATTACTTACTGTAGCATATCAACAATGCGACCACGGTCCATCAGAAACTCCCGCAACTGCAAAAAGAAAAATTTGAATGAATTATTTTATCTGTTAGCTTACTTTAGTATGTCCATGATCACTGAAGATAGTTGTTACCTTCGAATTTTCCCCCGCCTCTTGTTGCAATATTTTCGATTCCTGAACAACTTTCTCCATCTCCGCTTCTTGTTCAGAAAGAGCTTTCCAGGCACACTCTTCCTTTTCCAGCTTGTCCTGCTCGGCCAGTCTCCTTGCCTCTGCTGCCGCATCCAGCCGTTCCTCAAGGGTTTCTCGCATCTGCAGTGACAGAACATAATGAGCCAAGAAAAAGGATCATCTTTGCCCTACATCAACCAAAGACAAATATAATTGTTGCAAGTAGTCACGAATAAGATTTTCCAATATCTTTACTGTGCAAATACTTTAACATCTTTTGTGATGATATTGTTTGATAAACACATATAGTGAAACAGATCATACCATTGTTGCTTTTGAAGAATACAATATCAAAAAGACAGCATAAATGAGGCAATCAAAAGATAAAATAAGTGAAATAAAGCATGCACCAACAGTAATGCAGTGCAATAAGCAACTTGATGAAGCGGAATCAAAACCTCATTAAGAATCGCAAGTGATTTATCTCTCTCATCCGATAAGTTGAGCAATCGAGACTGAAGCTCCCTCACTTCAGTTGCTAAAATTGCTTTCTCCCCGTAGACTTCTCCAGCATGCTGCAGAAAAAAGAATATAACCTCAGTTATGATGCACCCTTAACTAAAAATAGCAACTCAGAATCCATTAACTTCGAACTTTAATCACATCTCGCAAAATACTACCATGTCATTTCCGTCTTTTGCATGTGCCAACATCTGTTTAAATTCCTCCACCTTGACCATTATATCCAAACCTCCCCTAGAAGCTTCCTCTTGAACAATATCCACTTCTTTCTCCTGCACTTCCACTTCTCTCATCATGCTGATGACTGACTGCATGGCTGAAAACAGGGTTTTCTGCAACATTGTTAAACGATTAGGAACTCTGTGAAAGACCCGATTTAGGAGACCCACTATGGCCGGTCTCCACTGCCATCCCGATATCCTATTTGGTTGTAATTTGCTTATCATTAGAAAGAAGAAAAAATAACTCCATGGCAATAGTGGTTCAGCAAAAGAACACATGCAAAACATTAAGAATACACTCCCAAATATCAGACAAGATTTATTATCCCAAGATAATACATATTATAGGTAAAAAAAAATTGAAATGAAGCACATAAACCAAGGGTCCAAATCTATAAACATGCTATCATTGGATCCTAACCCAAAATCGGATAGTACTTGTATCAAACAGAGGAATTAACACACTTCAAAACATCCATGAAATACAGAACATCATCACATAAAAAAGATTTAAGATGATATAACTACTCTGACAAGATGGGGCCAGGTTTATTTAGAGTCTGAGAATATTGGAAAAGACCAACTGTGAAATTTCAATTTTATAGGAAGGGCATCTACTTCTGAATTGCGAATTGCAACCCCAAAGCTAACAAGTCGTAAACCTATTAGTACCTTGTTATTTTTAGCATCTTCAATGATCTCTTCAAGAACATCAGTATTGCATACGCTGTCTGTGGTGGTCTCCTCAATATCAACCATTTCCCTTGGAGAACATTCTTTCTCAGAAGTATGATCTGAAGGATCAGTTGCCTGTAAGTTGTCATCAGCAAGAAGAGGGTCTGAACAAGGAATGTCACACTGAGGAGCATCTAGTGAATGTTCTACGAAAGAAGAATCAACTGCAAATGGTTCCACTTTATCAGGTGTGTCATGGAGAACCAAATCAGAATCACAATTCACAGGGAGATAAAAACTTTTCCATTCAGGAAATGCATCAACCAAGGTGCCATTCATCACATCCTTTCCAGGCATCGAAAGAGTCGTAATGCCAGATGCAGACTGCTGCAGCCCAACTTGGACATCAAAATTCATACCCTTTCCATCAGAAATCACTTCTTCACTTCCAGTACTTATATCAGCATCTGATGGAACAGGACCATTTGGCAATGAGTTCACTTGCTCTAGCAGTGTGGGATTGTCATGAGAGATGCCACTTGTATGATCATTTTTGCTGTCATCATCAACAGCTGCCTTTTCTGGTTCTGGAAGAGGTTCAAACTCTGCTTCCTTAATTACCTGCTGGTGCATCAATAATTTACCCTTATCCTTGTGTTGAGCTGCAAGTTCAGCATAGAATTAAATACTCAGATGAAATAAATAAAAAAATAAACTGAAAAAATGGAACATTTTAGTATTACAGGTAATTATCAATATGCAATGACATGAAAGAGGCAAAAGTATGTAGCAGCAATAACAGAACAATTCCAGGAACAAAAGAAGGTTCTCGCGAGAAGCTACATAATACCTGCAACTGGGAGAGCCTTGGGACTCTGAACCTGAGTGGGACTGACAGCCGACAAAAATGACTGTGTAGCCAAGTTAGGGAACTCATTAATAACATCAAGCACAGCTGCATCGGCATCGAAGGGATGTTCAATAGCAATAGCCTTCAGAATGCGAAAATCAACCTGAGGCGAATCAGAAGAAAGAATATGGACGGTCAGTTAGAGTAAAAAATAAACATTTTAACCGAATACAAAACCCAAGCACCCTAGAATGTACAGATTCAATTAAGTTGCAGCTTTTACCTTTATGGAAAATCAAAGAAGGCTATGTTCTCACCTATGATCTTAGGCAAGACAATTAATGCATATTCCATAAAAGCAAACTAGAAGTCTCAGAATCATTAGAATCTACTGGAATAATAACTTAAGAAAACAAAAAGGCGAAAAAACTCGGAATTGTTCAGATTAAATTCCATGCACTCATTTGACAAATTGTTAAGCTTCATACCATACAAGTTTGACAAGACTTATACATAGAAAAACTATAAAGCCGAAAGATTTAAATGGAGACATAATTACACAATAATAATATAGGATAACAATTTATAACTGAATCCCAAAATGTTAAAGAATCATACCTGTGGAAAAACTTCCTTTAAGCAACCAAAAACAGCATTGAAACCCATCTCCAAGAGCTACGATTCTGCATATTTAAAACAGAATACAAAATTACAGAAAAAAAAAATTCATCCATTTGAGAGCCCCAAAGCTGCAACTAGAATTATATTGCAAAATTCAAACGAAAAATTAGGTCAAGATCTAAGATTAAATTTTTTTCTTCACATTCTAAACCCAACACTCTGCCGCGGATCAAACTTAAAAATCAGAATCTTCATAAAAAATTCGGAGCCAATGATACAAAATTAATCACAATACAAAAAACACAAATGCGATGAAATGAAAATCACAATCGCTACTTTTGGATGCCGAGAAAATCACACAAAAAAAAAAAAAAAAAAACTAAAAACTAAAAGATCAATTTTTTTCACTAACAATTCAGATCCTTGAATTATGAAGATCAAAATTTGCGAAAATTGAACACTTTCTCGTCCTTTTCTCGGCAGCCAAACAGAAAAAAAAACAGAGGAAGATGAAAAGACTGACCGTTCGGAAAGGTGGGAGGAGGAGGAGGAGGAGAGGGTTTGTGGTTTTTTGTGCGGTATTTGTAGTGTTCGATTCTCGGGAAAAACAATGACTCGGCCGCGTCGTCTTGACTCTTGACCCATGCAGCTAAGGAAACGGGTACACTCGTTAATCGAGCTGGTGTGCGAGGGTAATTTCGTCAATTCATCCAAGGGTAATCTTGCCAGACGAGTTTTTACTCGTTGTGATGGGCCCGGGTTTAGAACGGTTAGCTGACGTGGAATACGGGAAGTTTCCCGCTGCTTTTACTAGCCAACTTGTTTTGCGACCTGGGGTCCATGAGGAATTGAGGATCGTCTTTCTGAAATCTTAAGAATCTTTCATTTGTATTCGTTTATTATAAATCGTGTCGTCAATTTTCGTTAGATATTATTTATATTAAATTTTTTAAATAAAAGTATTTAAATTAATTTCTAATCACATAATATGTAATAAACGATCACGATTTGAAAATCTAGCAAAGAGAATCCTCGTTCACCTGGGGCATGGCCCCCAAATGGTGAAAATCAATGTCTGAAATGTGAAAACGGAGAAAAAGACAAACCTATTCAGTAGATGCATGGACGGCTGAGACTAATGATGTGATGTTATGTGCTAACATTTGCTTAAGTGTAACCGCGTTATGATCTGGATGAATGTCACATTCACATTTTGGGGCGTAGGTAATTTTTGGAAAATGAGAAAAATTTCGGATCGTACAATCTAACCAGCCCACCAGATAGTATCACATCATCGGTTACTTTTTATTTAGACTTCATTAATAAGCATACTGACACGAACAAAATGATGCCACCCCATCAATTTTCCTCCTTTTTTTTTTTATTGACACAATTTCAACGAATATTAATTTAAATGTTAACAGTATCAATAATATGAATAATATGTCAAAAATCGATGCGCTTGTAGATGTTGATCGGTTGGACTTGTCACATGGTCGGGCATCATGACATGGAAAAAAGCAGCTGACCCAAAAATACACATCCACAATTGTATCTAAGTTCAAATTCTTCTTTATCATACGGAAAAGCGCATTTATCAAGAAAATATGAAATAAATTCTTTCCAATATTTTTTTTAATAAAATGCAAGAGGCTTCAAATTTTCAAACAACGTAAAAAAAGAGTTTCTCTCGAGTTTTTTTTTTTTTTTTTGAGTAAATTGTAACAATGATCTCTTATTTTTAATCAAATTAGAGTAATGATCCTTCAACTAAAAATTCATTACTATTGGTCCCTCAACTCATCAACATGTGTAGCTATAGTTATTTTCGTCAACTTCGTTAGAATTTTGTCAAAATAAGTTATATTGGAATGACCATTACTACAATTGGGGTCCCTCAACTCATCAAAACGTATAGATATGGCCATTTTCGTCAACTTCGTCAGAATTTTGTCAAAATTAGTTATGTTGGACGGACTATTGTTGAGTTAAAGTTGAGGGACAATTTCTCCAATTAGGTTAAAGTTAAGGGGTCATTTCTCCAGTTGAATTAAAGTTGAGAGACCAATGGTAATAAATTTTTAGTTAAGGGATCATAGCTGCACGTTTTGATGAGTTAAGGGAACAATGGTAATGAATTGTTAGTTGAGGGATCATTGCTCTAATTGAGTTAAAGTTAAAGGATCATTGCTACAATTTACTTTTGGGGGGTGGTTTGGGAATAATCGTAATATATTTACAATAATTAAATCTAAATCCTCATGATACTTTACTAAACCCAGATTGGGTTTAATGTAGTCGTAGGACACACCTGGTTTTCTAGCTCTAGAAATGGACATGGATTTGACAAAACACAAACAGAAATTACACGCACGCACTGTAATCTACAAACCCTAGCTTATACATAAAACCGTAACATTCGCACGCGGCTGATCGCAACTCCGTGGCATGACAAGTAACGAAGGAATCGAGCCACCGGAGTTCGTAGCTAGTTTTTCCAACCGGAAGTCTGGAACAACTTTCAAGTCTGTCATCTCTTACTGCCTAGAAGAGGCTCCCGTGGAGACCCTGAAAACCTCACCGAATGTCCATCATCTTCCGCAGACTTCTTCGGGGTTTGCCCGTGCTTACTTAGAGCGCCCTGAAGGATAACGAGTATATAATTAGGCAAAACAACTTTTCAACTTCAGAACAGCCATACAAATGACACACAGCTTGTTACTCAATCCAAAATACGTACTCGGGGAAGAGGCAAAAATGTTTGATACTTCTATCACTATTTGTAACCTTTTCTTAAAGCATGAGGAATGCACATCAAGAGAACGAGGACTTGGAAGAGCTTTGCGGGTATTTTTACATAAACTCTGTTGAACTACAGCGAGATGCATGTTTCAAAATCACAGATTTGGTGAAAGCTTCAGTTACTGGAAAAGCTTGTGCTTTTTAAGATATATTGGTTGATGACTTCATGTTCCAATGACTTAGCGAAAGACTGACAAGTAAATGATGTTAACTTACTACAAGCAACTTCCGAGTTGATGGAGCTCGTGCCATGGATGAAGCAGCTGCTGCAGCAGCCACACGTATCCTATACAAATCACACATTCCAATATAATCAAGGAACTTGACCGTGAGAGATAGAGAGAGAGAGCGAGAGAGAGAGAGAGAGTTCAGATCCCATCATACCTCCTATGTACATCGATATATACATCTGTCTCATCTACAATTTCCTCCTGCATTGAAAAGAGGATTAGGAAAATTCATCATTAAACAGAGCGCACGTGAAAAGAAATAGTATTGGCATTTTTTTTGTCGTTGAACACATAATATTAAACTGACTGAACCACATAAATTGAACTTAAGGGTAGGAGATTGATAGAAGCAGAGCATACTTGCAGAAGTTCTTCAAAAACATCCTCCAGGGTGATGATTCCTATGACCTCCCCGTCTTCAATGTCCTCTGATGAATTTGGATTTATAGCACCATTCGATTGAACAATTGGCTTGTTTGTCAGAGACTTTGGAGCTTTATCTATGTCGAGAGCAACACTCCCTGATTTGTCATCTTGCTTGATTGGCAAGGACGCAGCTAGTTGAGATTTTAACTGTGCCAGTTTATCCTCCTTGAAATTCTCTACGTTAGGAATTGTCAGAAGGTTGCTCTTTCCTTTGCTCCTCACTACAGCTGCCAGGTGACTGCTTCCTTTTTGAAACTCATTAAGTATATCATACAGCGGCATATCTGCCGGAACCCTGGGAAATCCATGCATAAGTATTTAAAGTTTTCCCACATACAACAGAAGTAGATATATACATAAAGGATAATATGGAGAAAGAAGTGACGCACCTAGGCATTCTTCGAATCGAAACAGCACTAACTGGAATCTCTGCTTCTGCTCGTACTGTGAGAAGACTTTTCACCTAAGTCCATTACAAAATAAATAAATAACTTAAAAAATGACTTGCGAATCCTACAATCAGCTGTGACATACCAATTCTACAATTAACTGTTATCAATGGTAGGAAATCAACGGCCAGAAGTTTTCACTCACCAGAAGGAGGCCAATAATATTTTTTGGATTTTCAGAATAGATGGGGACTCGACTATGACCTCGCGCAAGAATTTTCCCAATTGCTTCCCTGAGGAAACAGATATCAGTTTAAAAATGAATCTTTCCCTCTACAACAGAAAACAAAAAGAAGACCAAGACCCATCTCAATTACTACCAGATGATCCTGATAAGTTCTTCTCAATACCTAGTTTCAACTCTATTCTGCTCAATATAGCAGCAGATACAACAACAAAAAGTACGACCAAGAGATGTAACTGCTATTTCAATATAACCACACAAAAAAGAGCACAAAATAAAGAATATGTAGAAGAGTCCAATGGCAAACACACCAGTCTAAGTTTGAATTAACATCCAAGGAAAATGTTGATTCAATAGGTGTCATAGCCTCCTCTGCGGTCTGGACATCAAAAGAAACTTTACTATTATGAATCCTTCAAAGAAAAGAGAAAATGCAACACGCAGATGTGGATTGTGATGTTATCTCAATACTTAGAACGCATGCAGAAGCCTGAAAATTGCAACTAAAATGAAACACCCAGGAAGACAAGGACCAAAATAGCTTGGGAACCAGCATCAGAAATATAGCAAGAAGATCAAGAATGCACATAGAAAGTGAGAAAATTGGTATATATTATAGAACTGAGGAACATGTACATGAAGTAACACTATAAAATATTGGAAATGCCCGTATATAGTCAAATTATCTTCCCTCAAATTGCTCTGTAATGTCTCTTAAATTTCCTGTGTCATATGCTGCGACGACAAATGCAAAGCTTAAATACATCTGAAAAAATTGGGTACCTTTTCAGTTAAATCTAGGGCTCCACTGATGATCGTCGTCTCATCATGTGTGAGTTCACCTCCCTTACCAGCCTAAAATGGATAGAAATAGCAAGTCAAGGAAAACAGAAAACAATCCGAATTCGGCACAACTGTAACTGTTCTGGAATTTTCAGCAGCCATTCACAAATCATAAAGTCACATTCAACACCCAGAACTAGTTGCATCATTTATCACTACCGTTGTTCAACAAAATAAATCAGTAGTCAGGAACAAACTTTGGACATATGCAAGTGAAGTCGTACACACTTCCAATCTAAGCAGCTTACCTCTTGGCCATGAATAGAGACTAGGGCCTTCAATTGAGCTCGCCTAAACAAATCATCACTATGTCCAAGTACCTTATCAAGAACCTGAAACCATGCGTTACACTATAATATCACTTTCCGAATCTGAAACATTTTAGACTTCCATCCATACTATGTTTTACTAAAACAGGAAACATACTTTATGATCCAAATATGAAAATTATAACGAGTGTAATATTAAAACATCACTGCCGAATAAGAACTCATCTCAGTGTTGATGTGATATCTTCAATGTCTCATAGCCGCAAAAAGCAATTTATTAAGCAGATGACTGAGCTATAAACTAACAAAAGCCAATAACTTGAAGAAAAAAAAAAATGAAATTCAGTGATCCAGTACAAACTATAAGTACATACCCTTCCAATTGGGTATGCAATCGGATAACAAATGATCATCAGAATGCGAACAAGCCAAACGAAATTGGCACCCACCGAAATCCCATATCTTGAGCAAATAGATTGCGGAATAATCTAATCCAACATGGAAAGGCACGAGTCAGTCACAGTCCCATGATTTCATTAATACTAACACTCTATCCAGCTGCATTTCAATAATAAGTTATAACCCGGAAAATGCCGCACCTCTCCGAATAACAGAACAAAAGTTACAGACAGCACAACAGCAACAACTGGGTGAAAGAGTTTATCAAGGTATAAAGGAAGCGCCTGCACAAGCAAAATTCAACACACAAAACAAGACAAGTAAATTAAACATTTTCATATCTTTTTTTTTTTTTTGGTAACAACAATTAACATGTTCATATCAATGTTCAGCATCACAACCGCATCAATTGCTGTTAGATGAGTGTGATTTAATCCATCTATTTCACAAACCTCGAAATTTAAACTTATCTAACGAAAATCAATGTTTAATCTATTACACAAATCTCAAAATTCAACGTTAATCGTCAAAAGTACCTCCATGGCACAAGCATTACAGAGAAGCAACGTGACCAAAAGTTGGTGCTGCTTTTGCACAACAGGCAGTATCTTAGCTGCGAACACAGACGGATCAACATCAAACCACTAAAATTAATCACATAATTAAGCTCAATTAAGTATAATTAAACACAAATTCGTTAATCAAATTTCAATTTTCCAAAAAACAGACCGGCTTGCTTCTTCTCAGTGGGGCTACCGCTGCGCTGGAGGATTTCGAGGTCGACGAGGTTGAGTGACATCAACCCCAAGGTGAGGCCGGACATGATCCCGGCGAAGAGGACGAGCAGGCACGAGACGCCGGCGTAGAGATACCACGACCCCGTCCCGAAAGGAATGTCGTCCAACGTCATCACCAGGTCCTTGGCGCCGTTCCACGACATCATTTTCGCCGTCGTATTCGGCGGCGAGATTAGGGCGCTGGTTTGGGCGGTCGGCGGAAGCGGCATCGGGAGGGAGTGAGAGAGTGTGGCACGCCGTTTTTTTCGAGTGTCCTGACTCGTCGCAGTGCGGGAAGGTGATGAGGACGTTGACGATGCGAGTGATGTAAACGTGGAGAGTGGAGTCGTAAAGGATCTACGGTCGAGGTTGTGCCAAATGTGGATCCGGCAGATCTGTTTTTATAGGGAGTTTTAACGGGAGGCAGATTCTCTGCCCTCTCACTTCACGTGCCCTGCCTCTGTTTTGTATGGTCACGGTTAAACTACTTTAATATTTTATATTAAAATAATAATATAAAATGTTGACGTGGAGAGTGGAGTCGTAAAGGATCTACGGTCGAGGTTGTGCCAAATGTGGATCCGGGAGATCTATTTTTATAGGGAGTTTTAACAAGAGGCAAATTCTCTGCCCTCCCACTTCACGTGCCCTCACGTGCCTTCCTGTTTTGTGTGGTCACGGTTAAGCCACGTCAACATTTTATATTGAAATAGTAATATAAAATGTTGACGTGACTTAACCGTGACTTAACCGTGACCACACAAAACAAGAGGGCACGGGAAGTGGGAGGGTAGAAAATCTGCCTCCGTTTTAACAAACACTCACGGTACTGTTCACTTTCAACAAAAAATTCATTTTTACTCTAAAAAGTCATTCCTGATACTATTCATTTACACCACTTTTTTGTCATTTTAATAAAAACTCAAAGTTTTCAAGTCATTTCATTAGTTTTTTTTTTATCCGAAGGGAAAGCAAAAGAGTAAATTGTAGCAATGGTCCCTCAACTTTAATCAAATTCAAGCAATGGTCTCTCAACTAAAAATTCATTACCATTAGTCTCTGAACTCATCAAAACGTGTAGTTATAATCTTTTTCGTCAACTTCGTTAGAATTTTGTCAAAATAAGTTATGTTGTAAAGACTATTGCTACAATTGGGTTAAAGTTGATGGACCATTTTTTTAATTAGGTTAAAGTTGATGGACCATTTCTCCAGTTGGATTAAAGTTAAAGGACTATTGGTAATGGATTTTTAGTTGAACAATTATAGCTGCACATTTTGATGAGTTGAGGGACCAAAGGTAATTGATTTTTAGTAGAAGGATCATTGCTTCAATTGAGTTAAAGTTGATGGATCATTACTACAATTTACTCTATTTGAGGAAAACATAAAAAATAATCGATTTGAATCGACTAGCCCCTGAAAACTGTGTGTAAAATAATGTCCATGAATTCAAACCCGTTATGTATATATTCTCAAATGAGCACATTAACTTTTGCTCAAGTTGCAATTTGTTACTAAAAAACGAAGAACTTAGTATGGTTTAGTGTTATTTTTCTTTATTTATATTTATATGTAAAAGATATAAAGTTTAAATTTTATAGATGATGAGTTTGATATTAATTTTTTTTAGGATGCAATTTAAAAAATTTCCTAACCATTATAATCTCTACTAATTAATAAAATTCTCTTTGTCAAACAAAAGATGATGAAAAGACAAATTAATCTTCTATCACACAAAAAAAAATGATGGGCAATAATGTAATTTCATAGGGCCAAATTTTACTGTTTTTTATTGAAATCTCACCTACATGTGATGTTAAAATACCTCTAATATTTATATATAAAAAATTGAAAAAACAAAAACAAAAACCTTCCACTCCCCCATGTTCTATCTCTCTCTCTCTCTCTCCCCCTCTCTCCTTCTCATTTTCTAAAAAAATGTGTTTATACATACAAAGTGTGTAGGCAAATGCTATTATATATTAATAGACTTTATATGGGCCAAGCAGCCAAGCCCAGGGTAATTCATATGGACCAGCTTCCAAGCCCAAATCCATAAATAGTCACACAGTTCAAGCCCATTCAACTTTGTTGCTTTGCAAGCCCAATTTAACTTTTTTTGGTGAACAAGGCCCAATTTAATTTTGCCGCTACACAGAAACCCTGAAATTGCTTCTCTCTCCTCGCACTCTCACTGTGTCCCAGTGACTGAATCAGCTCGGTCTCCGATTCCGGCTATGCTCTCCAAAACCCGACCAATCTCCTCCTATATGCGCACCCACAAGCCCGCTCTCACACCCAGCACGCGCCCAGCGACCCACCTCCAATCCCAATCAATCTCGAGCCTCAAAGTCGTCTGGCGCAAGGACCAGAAGCTCGACCGGGCAATCGAAAACGACAAGTCGTACAAGCTCTGCGCCCGCGTCGTCAAGGAGGTGCACAACGAACCGGGTCGGGTGATCCCGCTTCGATACTTCGAAAAACGGCGCGAAAGGCTGCGGCTCAATATCAAAGTCGAAACCTTTCTTAGCAGAAACCCAGGTTTGTTCGATGTTTACTATGATAGAATTAAACCCAAATCGGAACCGGTTCAGTTTCTTCGATTTAGCGATAGATTAAGGATGTTTCTGGAGGAGGAAGAGAGGATTTTTAAGGAAAATGAGCCGTTGATTGTGTCTAAATTGTGTAAATTGCTGATGATGTGTAAGGATAGGGTTGTTAGTGTTGATAAATTGGTTCATGTGAAGAGGGAATTCGGGTTTCCGAACGATTTCTTGGTTAGCTTGGTGCCCAAGTATCCGCAGTATTTTCGGATACTTGGGTGCCCCGGAGAGGAGAATTGTTATCTGGAATTGGTTTCATGGAACCCCGAGTTTGCGAAATCAGTGATTGAGAGGAGGGCAGAAGAGGAGTCGAATTTGACAGGGATTCGGGTTCGGCCTAATTTTAACTATAGGCTGCCATCAGGGTTTTTCTTGAAGAAGGAAATGAGAGAGTGGGTAAGGGATTGGGTGGAAATGGATTATATTTCTCCGTATGAAGATGCGTCGAAATTGGATCAAGCTTCGCAGGAAATGGAGAAGAGGACGGTTGGAGTTTTTCATGAACTGTTATCGTTGTCTTTGTTTAAAAGGATTCCTGTGCCGATATTGGGTAAATTTAGTGATGAGTATAGGTTTTCAAATGCGTTCTCGAATGTGTTCACAAGGCATGCTGGGATATTCTATCTGTCGTTGAAGGGAGGGATTAAGACGGCGGTGCTGAGGGAAGCGTACAAGGATGATCAGTTGATTGACCGGGATCCACTGCTAGAGATAAAGTACAAGTTTGCGGAGCTATTGGAGGAGGGATGGAGGGAGAGACGAGAGCATTTGCGGTTGCAAAGGGAAGAGGTTGAGAAGAACAAGGAAATGATGGCTATGAGGAACGAAGAATAGGATAAGTGCATGGTTGGTGATCAAGAAGCGGTGAAATTTGCAACTAGATGACAGGTAACGAGGAATTAGTTCTTAATCATATGTATTGACATTGAGCTGCAAATAGTGTTGAAAGTATTGGATGATCTTGGTTGTGACGGATTATTGTTTTTAATTAACCAATTTCGTCTCAAATATTGTAGTGATTCTTGGTGTACCTGAATATCTTTGATGGAGGATGGAACTGCTTTTTTGGGGTGCCATATTAAATTCGTGTTTGTTTTATTTGATTCTACAAGTTCATGAAAATGGAAATTATTGACGGAAGCACTATGACATTTTGGGATGCATGCTCACCTATGTGATGCGACATTGTCATGGAGTTGTTGTAATCATGCTCAATGTGTTTCTCACATTCAGTTCCGTCCCAACACTTATTGTATTCGCAATATGACACAATTTTGGCAAATTTTGATCTTGTTATTGTGCGGTCAAAGTGCAACTAAGTATCGATGTATTAATGCTGGCGATTGATTTCTTAGACAATGAACACATTCTGACTTCTAAAGGGAATATCCACTGAAAATGGTTATGATGAATTTGCTTCTGTTTAGAGCATCAGTTAGTTTATACTGCGTTGGAAGTGAATGCTATTCTATTTACCAATCGTAACTGAATTTATCTCTTTTCAGCTTTCCTATTCTGCATTTCTGTATAGCCTTCCGTAATGAACCGGAAGTTCTACCTCCCTCAATCTTCATTTGAGCTTTAGCTGTAACCGTTTCATTTCTTTGAACAATCCTGGAAACGGGGCATGCATCGGATTCATGTGTATTTCATCATCTCTATGTTGTGACCAGACAGGATGGTAGTGTTTGTAATGTCTGCTAAATTGACAGGGAAATGACACATATAATGTAATTTCTGTTCTTGCAGTTTGGTAGGAGCAAGGTCGGTTGTGGAAACACTATTTGGGAGAGTTTGCACGTCACCTAACACAAACAGAGTCATCACACCAAATGAATGGGAACCTAAACCTCATTCCCTTGGTAATCTCCATTACTTTTTTAATTAGTCTTTTATTTATAATTATTACCCACAAAGAGAGCCCAACAACTAAGAAAACACAAAGCTTATGAAACCACAACAGAGTATAAATAGACGAATTAGCCGAAGAAGAAGATAGCTGAAATGGTCATGGAGAGAGTCAAGATTCTTACTTTAACCTTGTTTGCAGCTTCCCTGCTCTTCCTGCCAAAGATGAAGGCGCAGCATCTATTCCCGCCTGCGCGCCCCCTCTGTGCATCGCAATTTGCACTTGCTAACTATGCTTGCTCGATGCTACCCTTTACTCCGACACCCCCACCAACACCCCCCTCCCCTCCCCCTTCACCCCCCGATGATGATGAAGGACAGGAAGAGGACCATGGTCAGGACCATGGACACGGTCACGGACATGGACACAATCACGGACATAGACATGTCCATCACAGGCACAGGCATCATGATCATCAAGCCATTCCTGCCGAAGATAATTGTTGTAAGTGGTTGAACCAGCTGGACAATGAATGTGTGTGTGAGCTGCTGGTTCACCTGCCCAACTTCCTCATTAGGCCTGCTCATGCGTACTCCGTGGCTGTCGGAGAAACTTGCACCGTTAGCTACACTTGCGGAACTCCGATCAGGATAAAGATATGAAGAATAAAGCATATTTACTTGCTCATCAACGTACGGAAAATTAATTTATTTGCACTGCTTGCTTATATTTGGTGTTATATGAGGTTTTCGTGGCATGACTGTAATACTTAAAATCTTGTTAAAATTTGGCGTTGTTTATTTAACTGCTTATTATATTTCTAATAATTTTGAGCTTTCAACGTAAAAGAATTGAAGTTTATGCATGGACAAGAGACGGGGATCTTTACCTATCAATATAATAATATTTGATTTTGACCCTGAAATTCAACTTTTTTCCTACCTAGATTGCAACTTTTAGGGTTGTTTTTTTTTTTTTAAAAATAAAAATTCAATCGAAAAATATTAGACTAGATTAGCTAAGATTATACGAGATTAGCTTTTCAGCGATGGTCGCATATGAGGCACCTACCCTCTCACATGTAGGGATGAGGACTATTGTGCCCAAACCCCATGGGTCCCTCCTCCATCATTTGTCTAAAGACAAAGGAAAGTAAACAAAAAAAATACAAGCAGGGGACTAAGTTAAATTCTATAATGACCAAATGATCAACAAAACTGATAATAAAGACAAAGTGAAATATCACAAGCATGGGTAGAGATAACAAAATCTAGAACAGTAAAAAACCAATAATAGGCATAAGGCCATCTCCAACCGAAGGGTCCAGAAGGCCGAAAATAACCTGAAAACCGTCTTCAACCGAGGGCTAGGCCAGAGGGCTCATGGGCCCCACGAAATCTGAAAGGGCCAACCGGCTGGGCTAGAAATTCTAGCATTCCTGTCAGATATAACCGACAGGAATTCTAGGCCAAATTTCAAATGCAACGGCTAGCTGACGTCAGCTAGTCGTTATTTTTTATTTTTTTTTACAGTTTTATTTATTTATTTTACACAATTTTTTTCCTATAACTTCTATTTTTTTTTTCTATAACTTCTATTTTAGAAAATTTGTTTTATATTTTTTCTAAATTATATTTTTTTTCTTATAACTTTTATTTTACAAAATTTGTTTCATATATTTTTTAAATTCTATTTTTTTCCTATAACTTCCTAAGCCATTATACAACATTAAATTAAATTAAGTAACATGAAACAACATTAAACAATATGAAATAACATTAAATAACATTAACCAACATAAAAATTATACAACATAAAAAAAACATTTAACAACATGAAACTTAAACAATATTTTTAAAAACATTTAACAACATAAAAATCATACTGACGTCACTTAGCCGTTGAATTTGAATTTAAGTTGTAGTTTTTAAATAATAAATTATGTTTGGCCTTAGCCCTCGGTTGGAGACGTTTTTTTGTGACACGACTAAAACAAGCCCTATGGCCCTCGGTTGAAGATGGAGGCCAATATGGTCATGTACTGTTCATTAAAATATTAATATCTTGAAGGGTGAGAGAGCTAAAACAAGTCATATGGCCAGCCTTCAGTTGGAAATAGTCTAACTATCTGCTCGAAATGAAGCTAAAGAATCAATAACTTGCTTTTCTTCTCGATAAACATGTTCATATGAACTGCATTTGACAAAGTTGTTATTCTAATCCACAATAAGAAACCAAGTGATCAAATAAATTCAACGAAGAGATCAAATCCAATCAAATCCAAAACAAACCAACGTAATTGGATCCGATGGCGCATTTGCTTTGTGAGAATCCAATCGAATCCAATGAAATTTTCTCTTATATGCTTATTAAATTTAATAAATAATGAACAATTTAAACTATTTGATAGAACTATATTTAATATAATGTGAAACGAATACACTTTTCTTTAGAACTTGTGATTGAATTAGACTCGACGAAAGTTGTTTCACATTTGATGTATTTATGTTTCATACTATTAAAAATGGAGATCCAATCCAAACCAATAAAAGGAATTGGGTTGGTTTGGATTGAAAATCAACAATCCAAAATATATATTGGATCAAATGTGGATTCGTTAGATTTTATAAACCGAGGAGCACTCGTAATCAATTTAGTTTCTGTGTTGAATATGATGTTTTACATTGAGAACGTAAATCTCATGCCAAGAAAGTAAAGTTTCGCATGCCAGTTTAAATGATTTTGAGTGTCTCCATGCAAAGCAACATTTATTAAAACCGTACATATCTTGAATGACTAGATTTTTCTAAACCGATGAACACTCCTAGCTGCTTTAGATTTTGTACGGGATGTGATGCAACAATTTTCCATGTTGAAAACATGAATCCTACGCTAAGAAAATAAAGCTTCTAATTTAACATGATATATCAGATTCATGCGTACTCGCCACATTACATAACTTTTACACATTGCATAAGATAGCTAGGGTACTTGTCAGTTTATTTTTCTTTTTGTTTGTTTGCAAAGAGTTCAGGGGAGGAGAGACTACTCTATCCCATGGTCAGAGCATGCCACTAGGTTCTTTAAAGACTCACAGAAGGGTCTTAGCCCCTTTTTTTTATTTTAGCCCCTTTTTTTATTTTTACAGATCTCTCACCAAGAGAAATTGTTAATAGCAGATTTCAGTCTTGATATGGCGAAGAGAACAATCCTTACCAACTCAATCCTCGTTAGCATTTTTTTTTTCTTTTTGTTGGAATAGATGATTGATAATTTATCAATACATATAGTAACATAATCCTGAATCAAAGAGTTTATAAATAAAGTAATATCTGTGGTTCACCCATTGAAGTATAGAAAATTAGGGTTATCTTCTTGCTCATAGAATTATAGAACGTGAGAGATTTTTCATTCTGACCAAAATACAGAGTATGATATTACATGTCATTATTTAATTGGAGGAATTTTTTGTTTCAAATGTCTCTCAAATGGTACAATAACATAAGGTGTCCTTGTGTTCAGTGCACATTGAAAAATGTATGGTAGAATGTAAGATAATATTATCGTATATCTTTGGCTCCATGAATGATAAGTTTCCAAGTGTCCGCAAATGCGACAAGAATGGAAAATGGAGATTGTATATATGCTGATAACACCCCCAATAATAATATGTTCCAATCTAAAAGATGGTGACTTGATTGAAGAGAGTTTAATCGAAATTTACCATTACTTTTTCCAAAAGGAATAATTGACTATAAACTAATTGGTTGTACAGGTCAATCGGTATCCTCTCATTTCACCCAAAACTTTATTCGATCTCTGCCCTGGTTTTAATTTCTTTGTTTTGTTTGCTATGAATTTATTCTCTGCCCTTAAATAGTGAAATCTATATCTTGACCATGTACCCACAGTTTACAAACTTAAAACTTCCGTACGAGGAGGACCCCTTGCGAACCTAAAGATATAGACGAATTTATGGCACTATTTTTTTATATAATTTGACACACGTTTTAATAGAGCTCATTCGTAATAATTTCAATTATCCGAATTGTCTATCTTTTAAGTCTTCGAAATTGTATAACCATTGTATTAAGGGTTTAGTGTTTCTTTGTAGAAATGTATTTAACATTTTTTGGTTTCTACAAATGAATGTTTTAATAGTTTTAGATTTGTCTAATTTTTTGCAAATATGATCTAGGAATGATGTTCTAAAATATAGAAGGTTCAAATCGTTAAAATATAATACTAAATGGGCCCTACAAAAACGTGTGTCAATAACTGTTTAAGAAAAGCAGTGCCACGAATCCTGCCCATATATATGTATACATTTTTCTTATAGTAATTAAAAAGTTGAAATTGTTCTCAAAGATATAATTTTGGTATATGAAAGCATACTATTTTTTTTTATTTGTAAAAAGGTTCACAAGTATATGATGCTACGCGTATTATATCTCAAATAAAAGACTTGCTTAGATGTCACCGATGTATAATTACGTGATGAGACTTGAGATATATAATACATATATGGTTATATAAAAGGAAAACTAATAAAAATAGTTTTTTTAAACTTTTTATTAACAAAAAATCATCCACTAACTTTATTTAATAAAAAAAACTTAAATTTTAATAAAAATGACTTAAGTTTTAATAAAAATAGAAAAAGTTTAACATAATAATTAAAAAAATCAAAAAATCAAAAACAAAATCTGACGTGCGCATCACATTACTGAGTCATACACACTTTCCCTCCCTCCCGCTTTCTCCCTCCACCATTATTAACTCCTCTCTCCCTCTCCCCTCTTTCACATATTCCCATAAAATTTCTCTCTCCTCTCATCTCACCCATTCACATCAACTTTTTTTCTTTTCTCTCATCTCTCATATCACTCTACTCTCACTTCATAAATATTACAATTTTTACTTTTTATTTTATTGTATGTTTATTTGACCATTATTTCATAATTTGTTTGGAACAAACTAAGTAATAATATTATAAGACAAAAAATAAAGAAAATTTTTCATTTTTCAGTTTGATAAACAATGTTTATTTTAATTTCAAAATAGTGTGATTTTATCTTTAATTTGGACAATTTTTTAAGTTTGTGTCATGTCATGTTAACACTAGTTATTTTTACAATTGAACATTGATTATTTCTAGAATCGAACACTGATTATATTTAGAACTTAACCCTAACTATTTTCTCAAACCAAATAATGACTAACTCTTAAACTGAACACTAGTACTATCACTATTTCTTAAAATGAACGATGACTATTTCGTAAATTGAATACTGACTATTTCTTAAACTGAACATTAATACTATCACTATTTCGTAAACTAAACATTGACTATTTCTTAAACCGAACACTATTGCTATCACTAATTCATAAATTAAACACTAACTATTTCTTAAACCAAACACTTATACTATCACTATTTCGTAAACAAAACACTAACTATTTCTTAAACCAAACACTAGTATTATCACTATTTCTTAACTATTTCTTAAACCAAACACTAGTATTATCAATATTTCTTAAACTGAAAATTAGCTACTTCTTAAACTGAACACTAATACTATCACTATTTTGTAAAGTGACATTGACTATTTCTTAAACTAAACACTAATATTATCACTATTTCATAAACTAAACACTAACTATTTGTGACAACCCGTCCCTATTTTTCACTGTAATTTCTTTTCCATTGGTGTGAGTTGACAATTTTACCCTTTTTGGACAAAAGTGGAATATGATGTGGATGTGGTTTTCGGCTTTCAGTTTCTTTTTCCTGGTTTCGTAATTAATTAGTACTCGTCGCTATGAATGCGTGAACGCATGTTAAACTCGAATCGGATCTGTAATGAAAAAGTTATGCTCCGTTAAAGTACGTTAATCATGGGTAATTTTGTACATGCGCGTACAAATATACAGTGTTGGAAACACTGTCAAAGAGGCTGATTTTGTGCATTTAAAATTGTACAAAATATGAAATTCAAAATCCATCCAATTCTTAAAAGTGGATCCAGTCCCCTCACTTTCAACCAATCAAATTATTCAATTTGACTTTTTCCACCAATCCCTCACCACCATTCCTTTTTCCCTACTTTTCTCCTTCACCAATCAATTGCTTTCCTTCCTTTGAAAGCAACCAATCAAATCATGACCATCAAACCCATCACTCAATCAGAAAACATTATTTCTCTCTTTCTTCTCTTTCTCCCCGAAGGCCTTTCTCTCACCTTTTCTTTTTAACTCTCTCTAACGACATCCAAACCCTACAAACGTGACTTGTAACCTACACCTTTGAACTCCCTTCAACCCCATGATCACAACCGTGTAACAAAATCTCGATTTGGTTGAGGTTTGACTCACCAACTTGGAAGCTTCGACTCGGTGAGTTCTGGATCGACATTTTCAGGTTGAGTCGAGGAGTTTTAAAGGTCGGGGAAGCTTTCTTACAACTCCCCGAGGTCTTTAGTAAATGTTTGGTGAAGAAACAACCTCGAAATGCAAGGTTTCGAGAAGTCCTAGGTTTAGCCGTACCTTTCAATGCTTTTTTTCAGGCCACCTCCGTCCATTTTTTGGACTTCAAAAAGGTATAGCACGATTCTACTCTTCATAAGATTCATTTCCATATAAATTTTGTGAAAAATGGTTGATAAATGAAGAAGATACGAAGGTTTGAAATTTTACCTAGAAACTGGTGAAATTTTCTAGATTCCAGCGAGTTCAGATGGCGGCGACCGGTGAGGACCACCGGAGAAGATGACGGAATATTCTGTCAACTCTAACGGAATATTCGAATGGCGTCAGGTAACGCCGTTAACTTCTGTTACCTTTTAAAGGAATATTCCTAATGGCCGTTAGGCCTCCTTCAGCTCTGCATGCGCGTGGCCGGTGCGTGAGGGCGCGTCCGGTGTCCAAAAATTATTTTGAAAATTTGTGTAGGTCCATGACATCGAGTAGATCGATTTCGTATATTCAAACTCTATGTTTGAGCAATCTACGGAGGTTTTATTTAAGTTTCTGTTTATGTGTTATTAAACTAAGTTAATTAGTAATTTCACATATAGGAGAAACGTATCCCGAGGACGTACGGGGTCAAGCAAGGCTCGGAGGCTTTGTTTCAACTGCGTATCTATGAGTGGGCAGTTTATATCTATATATATATATATATATATATATATATATGGCTTATAGTTTCCACAAATGCGTTTAAATGGATTTATGCCTATTATGCCACAATTTTAATTTAGTTTGGTAAATATTGCCTTGTGTATGGAATTATAAAATGGCTATGGAATGTTCATACACATATTTACCTGCTTATAATATAGTACAGTGGTAGAATACTAAGGGGGTTATTCAATTGAGATTTTGAGGGATTTTAATTCTTTTAATGAATCTAGGGGTATTCAATCAGGATTTTAAGTAATTCTTTGAAATTCAAGGTGTATCAATTAAAATTTTAAGATAGTTTATTAAAATCCTTAGAAATCTAGGTGTATTCAATTAGGATTTTAAAGAAGTTTATAACATTCCAGGTGTATTCAATTAGTAATTGATTTTAAAGAATTTGAGAAAGTTGAGGAATTAGAGGGAATTGGAGAGATTTTGTAGTGTATTTTAAGCATCTACAAATCTCACTTCTTCCCATGAGATTTCGAGGGAATTTAATCAAAATTTTATATGGAATATCTACAAATCAATTAAACTCCATAAAAGTCCATGGATTTATAAATCCATTAAAGTCTCTCAAGTTCTCAATTGAATACACCCCCTTAAAATGATTCTATAGGAAGCGCAGGTAAATTCAGGTGAGTTTAGTATATTGATTGAATTGTATGGCATACATATATTCATATAGTTGGCTCATCATTACTACACCTCAATGTTAGTGCTCCTGCATGGGGCCAAGGCCAGCCTTCACGTGTATGTTCACTTCCCGCACCGCATGCTCGTCTTGGATCCAAGTAAGTGCTAGCCTGTCGTACATGTCGTGTTAGGCGACTTTGACTTGTACGTGACTGCGCTTAGCGCAAGCTTCACATGATCGTAGCACTAGAGCGTATATTATTATTACACCTAGCCTGTCATACAGGTCACATTAGGTGACTCCGACTTGTGTGATAGTATAGATTGATGAGCCATAGGTGCAGTTGTACAAGTCACATTAGGTGACTCCAATTTGGGTGCTAATATATTGTCAAGCACATGCCTATATTTTTATTGTTGTTGAATTATTCCTGTTGTGGCATATTTCTGATATATATTGTTGGCATACATTAAATCTTCATGCGTATACGTAGTATGATTTTAAGGAAACTATACTTGTTTTACAGCAAGGGGTTAGTACGTTCGAAAGTAAAGGTTTTCTTACAAGCGTTGTTTTGCTGACCCACTCAACTTTGTTTTTCGTCCCTCCAGGTTTAGTAGCTGTGCTTAAGTGTAAACGAGGATTCTGGAAAATCTCAGGAGATGGTTATTTCTAGTGGTATAACCTTTATCCTATTTACTATATTGTCTTATACTCTGACATCATGTGTAAAATTGGTTCAATCCCGCTCACCCGCTCACCCGCGCACTCTTTTGATTAGGCACTTTTAGGTTTAAATTTATTCACATTTTCCACATTATTACACTTTATGGCTTCGTCACCTTCCAGGTGTCGGCCAACACAACTCAATTTGAAGTCCTAGTGGACATTCCGGGTCGGATTGTGTCACTATTTCTTAAACTGAACACTAGTACTATCATTATTTCATTAACCATGGCATAGAAAACAATGGACAACAGACAAAGCTCAACTAGAAAATGCACACTAGCATCTATGGTTTTTGGGGCCAAGAAATTAGTGGCCAATGGTTTGAAAAATAAACTTGGAAAAGGCATGTCATCAACATTAACTAGATACAAATGATTAGTTGTGTTTTCTGATTAATGGATGAGTCGTGAACATTCTAACAATGAATAGCAAACCCAAATAATTATTCTATACATGAGAATGTCGTCAAAAGTATTATGATGGTAGAATATCTTCATGAAGTGTAATCCAAAGCAATTAGTCATTTAAGTTTGAAGAGAGCAGGTCTTTCTCTAATTTTAGGAAAGATGAGAGCCTATTACATTCTCACAAAAAGTTCAAATAGGAAATCATCAGTTAAGATTATTATGGGAGATAGTTTATTACAATTTTGTTGAAAATGGTGAGAGCGGGAACATGAGGGGAGCATTGAAAGTACTAACTATTATCATTAAAGCTCCTAAACATGAAATAAAGAAAGACGAAGGAGGCACGTGGGGCTATGAGGCTAGGATTTGAAGCTACTAAAGAAAATAATAATAAAAGGTGTGGGTTGCTGCAATATATATGATAAGTTCACAGAATTTGCAATGCACGCGCTTTTGTGAGGTTATTTTTTGTTTTTTATTATTTTCTTTTTGTTGTCATTATCATTAAATAAAATTATAGAGTGGTTTTTGGTTAAAATGCAAACTTTTGAAACAATTTTCATTAGTTTTCCTTAAATAAAACTGGTGATAGGGCATTTTAACTTCGATTGGACCTAGCTAGTTATTATGGCTGAAATATGGGGATGATGGATGTTACCGGCATAAGAAAGATAAACACTTAATTATATACCACTGCTATATGGCAGGTTTTCTTCACAAATAGATCGATGCAGCTTTTATTTTTATTTTTTGGTGTGGGTGATAGATTGTGGGTATTTTCCTAAGTGGGTCCTAAGCATTTCATTTTCCAGGTGGTTGGATATGCTTCATGGATTTCATTCTCAAATTAGGGTACAAAAATCCTAGAAAAGAGAAGATGAATAGGAACCAGAATAATGTATAGCATCATGCACCGTGCATGAAAATGACAACAGTACATAGTGAGTGGTTTCCGAACATCTACAATTTGTTTCCATTTTCGTTGTTTTTTGGTTTCCTTTTTGGGTCAGAAACCTAGGAAAAATATAGGGCAACAAGTTAATACAACGATATTTATCATTTTTTTATATGTATTTATATCATTGGTATAGGACGTCACAATAACAGTATACACACATAATATAATTGAAAAAAATTAAGATTTCACTATAAAATTCATTACGAATATAGCGAGCAGCTCAACTATTTATACGCATGTAAAATCCATTTTTTTCTTTGATATAGTTATGCTCTCAACAATGAGATTGATGCTCTTAACAACCCATTCCTCTTGTATCGTATCTATAGGCACACAAAAAGAAAAGCTAAAAAACCCAAAGCCACTTTGTGGGACTTTGTTCTGATGCTTCTTGCACCTTCACTGTAGAACACAACAGGCTCGCCCATTTGCCCACTTGCCCAGATATGTGCCTTTTGGCGCAGCGGCATGAAGCCACAGAAAAAGAATTTTAGGTTATCTTCTCTTTTGGTTATTAGCTTTTTTAAGTTGCTTTTGTTAGGGTTTTTGTGTAAATTAGTTAGGTATTATGTACGTGACGTTCACCAAAAATTGTAAGTAATGAGAACTAATTAACCAGATTAGGGTCTTTGAGTCTCGGAAAAAAACAGTGAGTCTACCAAAGCAATCCATTAGGGTTTTGAGTATTGGACCGAAATGAATAGAGGATTTTTTTTTTTTTTTTTTTGGGGGTTGGGGGGGGGGGTAAATAATAGGGTAACTAACAAGATTGAGCTAGCATTGAGTCATTATCCAGTAATGATCTATGTACGAACTTGAGTCAGTGTGTGATGTGTATCCCTCCTATTTTAGATAAGCACCAAACACCGACGTCCATGACTTTTGTTTAATTTAAGGGAATTTAAATGAAAAACTTTTGGTACTGTTTATTTTAACGAAAAATCACTTTTTTATATTAAAAAGTCAATCATGGTACTATTTATTTTACCCTTTATTTTGTTCTTATCATTAAAACTCAAAATTTTCAAACATTTTTTATTAGTTTTCCTTTAATTTAATTGGACTCGTTCACTTCAAACTACTAGTTTGCAGAATAAGATTTTTACATATTTATTAGGGAATGCTAGTCATCTTCTCAAATAACTTCCTCATTTTATCTTCAACTTTCATTTCATTTTCATCATGCAATTTCACAAGAAGATTGAAAACTTTTTTCTTTTTTTTTTGTGTGTGTAGAAAAGCCTTTAAAGATATCATATCTACAAAATCTCATTTGAGCTAGTAAACAAACAAATTTGGCAAAAAAGGGGCATACGCTTGGGGAAAGCATTTAGTTTGGTTCGTCTCGCTGTTACGGGAGTCATGAGCTCAAAAGGAGGCAGATTGTCTGCCCTTCTGTTTGAGTGCTTTTCTCATCCACTCATATTTGTGCGATCACGGTTAAGCCACGTTAATATTTTATATTCTTATTACCTTTTGTCCTATTATCTCTATAAAAAAATAATATAAAATGTTAACGTGACTTAACCGTAACTGCACAAAATATGAGGGGATGAGAAAGATATTCAAACAGGAGGGCAGACAATCTGCCTCCGAGCTCAAATGGGACACTGAAGTCTAAATCTACAATATTTGGGTCTTGCTCCTGCTATGTTTTCCCCACATGTTCTTCGATCCTTTAAACCATATATTTTATATTAAATTTTGATAATGTAATTGAACAGTTAGACAACTTCTAATTTGAATGATTTTTTGCAAAGTTGATCATAAAGACTAACCTAACATTTAGGTGGTTTCGATCCTCAAACAATATTAAGAATAAAAAAAGTTGAGAAAGTAAAATGAGAAAATATAAATGAAAAGGTTGCTAGCATCTTTTTTATTTATTTGGAACATGTATTAAGTGGAGGATGGGGGTGCTGCATCTGTCTTATCATTTGGACATTGTATATCATGCTCCACATTAATTGCATATTTGCAAATTAATCAACAAAAGGGTTGTGTGTGTGTGTGTGTGTGTGTGTGTGTGTGTGTGATGCGTGAAAAGAAAGCAAAGCATATTAATAATACATAGTGATTGCATATCACAAACTTCAATTAGTGTTTCAATTCTTTTCTATAGTTGCTTTTTATGAGAAGAAATATCGTCTATTCGCATCCAACTAGCCATGCTTTTGACTTCTTATTAAGCAATGATCATATCCAAAAACCCATTATAACTTAATTATCTTGGCTTGATGAGCCTCCGAATGATATATTATTCGTAACACGTTAATCAGTTGATGAATATGTTGTTTAATTTTGATTATTAATAAGATGAGTATTACTAAAGAGATTAAATTTGTTAAACCATATGACTTGGTTGTGAACGATTAAATTATTACTTAAATGTTGATTAATGTGTTTATTCTTACTGGCTACTGGTAACACATCACATGATTTATAAATTTGATTTACGTAACATTACCCTAATATAAATACTGCTGTTTTGCATCAAAAACTTAATTATCTTAATCCATCTCCATCTCGGAGCTGGCTTCTCTGCCCTCCCAGTTCTCATACACTCTCATCCCCTTCTATTTTGTGCGGTTATAGTTAAGCCACGTCAACATTTTATATTAATTTTTTTATATAGATAATAACACAAAAAGAAATAATGTTATAAAATATTAACGTAACCTAATCATGATCGCACAAATAAAAGAAAATAAGAGTGTATGAGAACTGGAAGGTCAAAGAAGCCAGGTCCCTCCATCTCAACCATATCCTTATCATTTCAAGATTCTGATTCTTTAAAGTAAATTCATACGCAATGCATGACAAAAACTACAGAGATATGGTATGACATGAATGTACGGAGCACACACTTATTTTGTACTAGAAAATAAAAAAACTTTATCTTGTCTTCATCACCATCATCACCATCATCATCATCATAATTAACTCTACTTTTTCATGGATCCAATACCAGCAACTCAATTCCTAAAAAATGAACTGGTTCAATATCCATTTAATCTATTCAAATGAATAGTAATTGACTCTAATGAATAGTAATTGATCAAGTGCATCTTTACTCCTAAAAAATGAGTTGAACAAGAGTTTAGTCAATTCGTATTAAAATATTATTAATTTTTTTAATAAAATAATAAAAAAATAATTTTATTTTTAATTTCAGATAAAAATTTTAACCAATCTTGTTACGGTACGTATCATTTTCCGAAAGTACAATTTTTGTGAAAGATGGTTAGGTATTTATATATATAAATCTTTTATTTTTTTCTGTATTTTTAAATAAATTTTTATTAAGTTAATTAATCTAGACCGTTGGATTTCAAAATAATGAAATCTAATAGTCCAAAAGTGGATATGTGGCCCACGGTAAGATTCTAATTTTTTTTTTATGCTAGAACGCGCGCTCACCACGCGTGTATCCCATGCGCCAGCGGCAAAAAAAAGAAATTCACATAACTGACATCATGTAGGCCGATCCCTTACTCAGTCCATTATGTGCTGGGCTCAAAGCTGCCCTCCACTTTGGGCCAGCCTATTGGGTGGGGTTGAGTGAGATTTTGAGAGGACTGGCCTAAAAAATAGACTTTGGGCTAGCACATTTGTTAGGGGTGGAAGTGCTCAAAGCTAAAAAAGCTATATAATCATATCAAGCATGAGATGGAATTATTCGATACAATAAATTAACGCTTAAGAAGTGTCATGACTTAATTTCTTTATTTTACACTGAATAAATTAGATAACCAGAACTTACTGCATAAGAAAATTTTAATGTCTAAGCTTCTAGTGAGTTGCAGCTGCAAGTGCTTCAAGAACCCTAAGGCTTCCAAGATGTGGAGGAACCTCAGCTGTCATATTGTAAAGAAACTGGCCAACGATCATAGCACTTGTCCCCGACACAAGCTTTTTCCAGGCCTCGTCGGCCTCTTCGCCGCGCTTTCGGAACACCTCCGTGGCATCCAACGGGTGCAGATTCCACCCTTTGATATTTCTAAGTCTATGAATCTTCTCCAGTTGTCGACATGCCAATTTGCACGTATTGTCCTTAATTTCGTCCACTGCTTGTCGTAGTAACCGAGTACGAGTTTCTTCATCCAAAAATGGCCCATACCTGAAGTACTTATCGAATTCAGGGACCCCTATTGCTCTTCGAATCCCTTTCGTGTAATCTGCATTGGGATCAAAGTACTCTCTCGCCTCATCCACCATTCCGTTGTGAACCATGTGGTCTACCCGTTTTGACACAAAAGAGTGCAGAACGGGTGTAGACACATCTACCCATAAAAAGCAACAGTCATACTTGGACCGAAATTTATAGTCATAATCATCGATCAACGCCTCGATGTAAGAGTTGGAACCTCCAACGATGATTGGAAGCCGATCACGGCCTAAAATGGATTCAATGGCAATTGAGGTTAGGTCACAAAAATCCCTGGCAGTAAAATCTTCATGAGGATCTAGCATCCCTAGCAAATGGTGCGGTACACCACGTTGCTCTTCTTTGGTTATTTTGTTGGTGACTATGTCAAGGCCTTCGTAGACTTGCATTTTGTCGGAGTTTATGATTTCTGCCGGGAAACAGGTGGCTAGGTCGATGGAGAGCCTTGACTTTCCGGTCCCTGTTGCTCCCATTACGATCACCACCTTCTCCTTCTGCCGGTGAGGATTGAACACGTCGATTTTATGATTATGGCCACTAGATGGAACATGTTGTAATGTTTGTATTTGTTTGCACATTGGCATCATGCTGGTGATGATCAAATACTTTATCTGCAAAAAGTTACGAAACATAAGCAAAACATAAAATTATGAAATCAAAACTTAAAACAAATCAAATTTGATCCAATTTTTGAGTCTGGTTTTAATATATTTACCTGTAAATTGGTTTATGAGATGCAGCTAGACGAAGAAGCTAGAGGGAAGTTGGCAGACGGTAATACGGCACACGCTTATTTGGCTCTTTTGATATAACTAGCTAGCTAGAGAGAGAACTGATGTCATAAGTAACCAAAGTTATGAGGAAACAAAAAATTTCTCAAAAAGTTGAAGCAACTTCTTCACACCTCGTGTAGGAAAGGGGAGGTTTTCAATGTTTATATACCTGGGAAAATTGGCAAGTTGGTCAATTGGTTATGCATTTGGAATTACAAGTAGTCAACTTTAAACCTGTGGAGGTAGAAAAAAAAGGAAATTAAAAGAAGTGGTCTTGCAATATATTCCCTCCACAAAAGTTTGATATATTTATTTATTTGATTTGATTGCTAGCTGCATATATAATATAGCTTTCGAGTTGCATATATAGTAATCAAAGTCATGAAAGAAAACAACAAACAATAACGAAAGCATGATTGAGTTGCATATACGAGTTAGGCTAGTTGAATAAAATAGTGCGAACAATGTCTTTATATCCGACTTTGATGCCACTTTTATTGATTAGAACAGTTTGTGCCAAAACAAAAAACAAAAAAACAAAACAAACATGATCCATGGTTTTGTGCATGAGTAGTACTGTAAGGTAAGTACCACCTCAAATTTCAACCTCAACTTGAAAATGTTCTTGCATGACATTGCAATTGCAGCAAGATTTTGATTCTTAAAACGACATCTGATAGTTACGCTAATTGGACTCAACTGTAAATGCTTGCAATTTAATAAGCAAGATCTGATTCTTCGCATACAGTGGATTTGACAAA